ACAGGAAGCTCCTGTTCGTATTGTATTGTGTAAATGTGGTGTATGTCTAAGTTTTGTGTGTATATATTTTACATGTTTGTTAATAAAAAAAATTTAAAAAAAGAAGACCTCCAAGTTCCCTATTCTATTCTATTCTATTCTAGTCACAACAACTTGTACAGTGACCATTCAATATTTTGATGGCACTGAATGAATGGTGGTTGCCAGTCCTTGAAGTTCTGGCTCTTCCAGCATCCCCATAGTCACTTGATTGCAATCTGGGTACTTGGTAACCAGCTCACACTTATAACAATTGCAGTATCTCATGGTCATGTGATATATGACTTTCCCTCCTGGCTTCTCATAAACAAAGTCAATGTGCAACCCAGAAGGCAAGTTGCTTGGATTAAGTCTCCTTTATCCACACAAGTCTTCCAACTCTGTTCTGTTCTATTCTATTCTATTCTATTCTATTCTATTCTATTCTATAGCAACCAAACCCAGAGAACACCAAGGACCTCTCATTTCAGCCTTAAGCTACAAATATTCTCCTTTATTTAAAAACTAGAAGGAAATAGGAGTTAACTTTTTTTCCCCTCCTCTTTCCCTTCAGGAACAAATGTTCACGAAGCCCAACGTATTCTGAATGAAAGTGGGCTTCCCATTACTTCCGCAAGTGACCTTGAAGATGCTGCTAAGAAAGCAGTGGCCTGCGTGACAAAGAAATAAAGAGATGACATTCCAGAACTGCCATTGAAGACATGATTTTAACCAGCCACAAGCACCGAGATTTGGCTTAAGTGTCCTGTTAATCACAAAACTGCAAAATATTCAGTGGGTGAAACTTGGAATTTTCATTTATTCCACCGAAGCCTTTATTTTTCAATATTGGGACAGAATGTTCTACAAACAAATATGAGTAACTACTGTCGGTTGCCATTTTGGGTTTCTCTTTTTAGGTATTAATTGCTTATGACTCCCAATTTTTCTAAGATACTTTGATGCATCTTTAATGTGAAAAAAGGATATTTGATTGTGGTTGGCCCTTTGTTGGGGAATGTTTTCAAACTCTAAGGAACTACTAGGGTAGTATCAAAGTTCAGAGGGGAAACGCCTTTTCTAAATCATGTGGGGAACTTCCAAAATTAGGGGTATGATGTGGCTTGGGAACCTGATGTTGAAATACAAGCCATCATAACATCTAATTCAGGCATGCCAGAAGCTTCCAATGTGCCTCCAATAACTCTTTGAATTCCAAATAATATTTAATAACACTTTCCAATTAAGGCTAGAGCGTCTTTATATTGCATAATTGGAAATAAATGAATGTAATTAGATTTCTACCACCATCATGTCAAACTTATTATAAAATGCAGTGATTCATATCCAATGTATACCTCATATTAGAAGAACATTCAAAATCATAGTTCCATTAAAGAGTCATTTTTTAATTGTCCTGTAAATTCGCATGTGATTGCTTTAAGTACTGAAGGAGAATTACACACCCTAATGTCACATTTGGCAGTATCTGTGAACATATCATCCAATTAATATGCACTGTCTTTAGAAATCAATATGTATAGTAACTTAAAATAGCCTTCTCATGAAGAAACCTAGAGGAATGATTTCTTAAGGCATTTGTGCTGTTATTCTAACATTATTAATCAAAATTGGTAATAATCAAAACTATCCGGAAACCTGCTGTCATCAGAAAGAATATGGAAAATAAATTGAGGAATTATGCCACCTAAGCACTTTTAGTATATTCTGTGAATTTCAGTGCAAATGTTCACCAACTGCAACATCTTCATACTGAAGTAAAGTGGATTTCCAAGTGCTTTAACTTTTGCTTGATTGTGCCTTTGATGTTTGGGAAATATGTATTCACAAAGTGCAAAGCCTATCAAATTAATTCAATAACCATTATTAAAGTGTTTAATTAACAATGGAGTTTTGAAATTCAAGATACTTGTTGAAATCAGAAGTTATAAACAATGTTATTCAACTGACAAGCCAAGAATTTATGTGATTTTTAAAAGTAAATAATATGAATACTTTTTTGTTTATTTCAATTAAACACTATTAATAAATTTCCCCTGGGGTTATACATTTGAATTTTGCTGATCAATGCTGTCATTATTTTTACCATGGTCATTAATGGCTACCAATGAAAGCCATTTTTGAGAATAGTTTTAGAAGTCCCATGAATATAGTCATTCCATTAACTGTTAAGTAAATAAAAATACTCATGTCATACATATTTTTCTTCCTATCATAAAAATCCTAGAAAAGCAGGCACGGGCAACTTATAAGGCACTTACAAGGTTATATAAAAGTTTGTAAACTCTCTTGAATTTTCACTATTTCTGCATAAATATGAACTAAAAAACATGATGTGTTCTCCATGTAAGTCTTAAAACTAAATTAAGAGAATGTCAGAGTTTGTTGCAGAAATCAAATCCAGAAAGCACACACAGATAACTGATTCAGTTTTTGAGTTTTGTTTTTTTTTGAGTTTTATTGGGATTTATATGCCGCCCTTTTCCCTGAGGGGACTCAGGGCGGCTTACAACC